CCCAGCACCGAGTTTTGTTGCTAAGGGTGACTGCATTTCAATCACTGCTCTAGAACAGCTGCCCCAGCCCTAACAAAAGCTCCTGTTGTCCTGCAACAAAGTGCCATTATTCCAAAAACGTCTGGCCAAAGCATTGCACAGCCTATCTGCCAGGTGGGTTTAACCTCCTCAGGCAGCGGGCAGTGACCGAAGATGCAGGTTGTCCCCCCGCTCCCAGCTCTCCTGGGGGAACGCTGGGATGGAGAGGAACCGTGTCCTCCTAGCTCAGTGTCCTGGCAAGAGTGGCAGGTTCCCTGGGCCCGATTTGGCCAGTCCCTCGCGATGCTGCTCCTGCAGGGAAGGCCCCGGGTTGCTGGTGGTGGGGCTAGGAGGGCAGTGGGACCTCGTTGAGCTGAGGCAGGGACATGCCCAGGCTGGTACCTGCAGGAGAAACCCGGGGGCGGCTGCTCCGGGCTGCTCCGGGCTTGCTGGCATTTAGTCTGCTTTGATTTCCCAGTGCTACTTGATGACTTGAACGCTGCCAAGCTAAACTGAGCCATAGCAATTCAGAGAGTGGCCTGGCCAGCCCAGCATCCTCCATCCAGCAGAGGCTTTAGTTGCTCCCTGGGGAAGGATGAAAGACAGGTGTATATTATACCTCCTTTAGTACACTCCTGGCTTTTGGCTGTTCCAAAGGACCTGCAAGCCTTATAGGTCTCTCATCTATGAACTTCTCCATCTCCCCTTGGTGCCACACAAATATTGCTTCCAAGGCAAGAAGCCCCACAGATCTGCTGCCCAGTGCAGAAGCACCAGGCCAGCTCTGTGGCTGCCCGTTTGCTTTTGCCATTGCAGGAGGTGGGAGCAGAGCAAGTGTCACCCCTGGCTGGGCACTGACCTCCACCAGGCTGAGGTGCTGGGGCACAAAATCAGCAGAGATCAGAGATTCTCGGGACACAGAACTAAAAAGGCACAATGGAGCCAGTGAGCCCACCTGGGTCACCCAACCCAGACCAGAAAGCTCTTTATCAATGAATAAATAAATAAAAATAACCATCTGTCCTAAAGTAGACTGGACCTTCAGCTTAGAGGGATGCTGAGATGAAGATTGCCAGTGGGCCGTGTGTCGCGTGCTCTGAAGCAGCGCCTGCGACCCTGGTCTCTCACCTCCATCCCTCCTGCTGCCTCTTGGTCTGATTTTGCAGCTCCTCTTGCGCTTGGCACCATCACAAAGTCCCAAGAGAGTCAGGACAGGCTCAGCCCTGCTCCAGGGCTGCGGCTCTCTGAGCATCCCTTGCTGCAGCCGGGTGACTGTCCCGAGCGCCGGCCAGGCTCCTTGAGCCGTGCGGGGACATCCGCAGAGGGCAGCACCTCCCTGCCAGGGGAGCTGCATGCAGGGTGCCCGCACCCACTGGCACACATGTTCTCCTTGCTGTTGGGACATCCTGCTGCAGCACCCAGGGTGACAGTGACACCCCAGGGTGACAATGACACTCCAGAGCAAGGGCCTTTCAGCAGCTCTGTCCCCTTGCTCCTCCTCCATCGGTCCTCCCGCAGCCCATGTGGCAATCTCGTGGCTGATGATGGCCTTGGCCAAGGTCAATGGCCCCAGGGCTCTGCTGGGGAATGGGGACAGCTATGGGGACAGTGACTGCAGCCCCAGCCAGCGCAGGGCGAGCCTGGGAGCGGCACCCTGCGGGCTGTGCGACTGTCCCTATCTGGGCTCTCAATCTGACAAGGATGAAATACAGCAGGGGGGCGAGAAAAGATAACAGGAAACCGGACTCTGAGCTTGCGGAGGAGAAAACTGCCGGTGGCCCCAGCGGGTGCCACTGAAACCGTGCAGCTTCCTTGCACGCCAGCCCAGCGCGGTGCCAGCTGGTGCATACAGCACCCATGGCACCATGGGGACAGGGCAGCCATGTCCTTGTGTGAGCAGCCCCTGGCCAGGCAGGCAGCTGAAGAGGCAGAGGGGAACAAGGGTGCGGGGAGGCTGCTGCTTGAGCACCCGAGATGCCCTGAAGCGTGCCAAGGGCACACAAGCACCTGCCCCTTCTGGGGACAGCACTGCCTGCTCTGGAGCAATCCCCCCTGCTGCAGTTTTCCTCTGCTGGGGCTCTGGGGAAGCCCTGACGCCCAGCAAGGTGCAGGGGGGTGTGTGACGCCCTGCGGCAGTGGGCACCGGTGCTGCCCGGGCAGCAGAACCGCTTCCCGAGGCGGCAGGATCCCTCCCGGGCCGGGCAGCCGCCCGCGCTGGGCACGGCGGAGTTGCCGGTGCCACATTAGCTGAGAACCCACTTTCAAGATGAGTCAGTGGGAGCTGCACGGAGGCTGGCATCCTGTTTTTGTAGAGGGGACACAGCGGTGAGGCCACCGGCAGCGCTCTGCCTGCGGCTTTCCCAGCATGTGCTTTCAGGGCACTTGGATGAAGCCGGGCTCACTACCTTCTTGGCATCGCCAAAGGAGAGAATCCCCCCAGGCCTCACCAAGGGCACAGGACAGGGCCAGGTGGAGGCACCGGGCTCATTTCGGCTCCTCTTCATGCCTGGCAGCTCAGCAGTGGGGCAAAGCAAATGCCAGGGAAGCAGGTTGCAGTTTGAGCCAAACGGGCATCTTGATGCTTCCCCTGCTCCTGGGTGATTTTGAAACAAGCTGCATGTCCAAGGAGATCAGCACCAGAGCTGACAATCCTATCTGTAATAGCAATAATAGTAATACTAATAACAGGAATAATAGTAGTAGTGATTTTTGGCACAGAAGATGCTAACACAGCTGCCCTGTAGGTTCAGGGTGGCTCAGCCTTCCTCCCATGGCCCTGGTTTGCACCGTTGCTCCTGCAGCCGGTCCTGGCACTGCTCCTGCATGCCCATGGGTGCTCAGGAGCAGGGCTCCATCCTGCTCTGCAGGGCTGGGTGGTCGAGGACAGGCTTGGGTGATGAAAGCAGCTGGTGTGGGCATGGCCCAAGCTGCGTGGCTCGTGAGCGGACACACTCTCCTTCCATGAACCAGGGAGGCCAGGAGGACTGCAGGGAGCTGCACACAGAACCGTCCTCAAACCACAAACCGGGCAAGGGCATCTCTACAAGATGCAACCTGGGCAGGACATGGGGGCTCCAGCTAATGGCTGGGAGAGGAGAGAGGCTCTGGGGAGAGGAGACGGGATCCAGGCAGGGTTTCAGCCCCAGCTGCTGGGAAAGGCCTTTGGGGAACCGAAACCCCACAAGTGACCACATTCATCGCTGTTCCAAGGAGAACTGAAGCTGTGGTCTGCCGGCAAGCCACGGGGAAGCACGAGGGGACAGGACAGGCGCCTGCACTGGGGGGCCTTTCCCATGGGTGCTTGGACGCTACGACGGGGCCTGGGCCCGGCCACGGGGTGGGCGCTCAGGGGCGCCCACGCAGCCGTGGAGCCAGCGGGTGCCCGGGCGACCCCACGACCTGGACGCAGCCAGCGGGCCCCCACCCTGCCCCGGTGCCCCCGGCACCGCCGCCGTTGCCACGGAAGTGCTCGGAAAGGGCTGTGCCAGCAGCCAAGCGCAGCAGGAAGGACCCGCTCGGAGGCCGGGAGGTAGCAAAACCGCAGAAAAGGGGAAGCATTCGAGTAACCCTGCCGGGCGCCGCCGGCCAGGCCGGCTCCCGAGGCTCCCGGACACACACTGCCGGGGCCACACGCGGCCGGGACGCACCGTGGAGGTTTCCCTGCTCCGGTAAGTGCGGGCTGAGCCCACGCACCGGCACTGCCACCGCTGCGCTCCCACGTCGGGGTCCACAAGCTGGGAAAGGGGTCCGGACCTGGCACTGCTGGGAGGTCAGTCCTGCTGCGACCTGGGAGCTTTGCCCTCGCTGCAGCCCCTGAAACTGGAGCAAGGGGGCCTGGGGAGGAGGGAAAAGAGCACCCTGTGGCCTAAATTTGCACTCGGTGACCACATCCAGCTTGAAAAAAAGAGAGATCAGAACAGCGCAAGGCAAACAGAAAGCCCCTGGGTGCTCAGTGCCGTGGCCGTGATGGGTGCTCGATGTGCTGGTCCCTGCCTGCGCCTGGCGCGGATAGTGCTAGAGCAGTCTGAGCCCTCCCTAGCCTCCTCTCCAGCTGACAGGCATTTTTCTAAAGCCTAAACATAGCTCCTGTACATTCACATGACCAGTGGTGAAGGCGAAGAAGAGATTTTTTCAGGCGAAGCTGACGCAGGTTGGGCACTGAAGCAGGGCGGCCGTTTCCACAAGGCTCCAATGCTGAGGCGGGAGCAGCATCGCGGCGGCCGGCAGGGCGGCTCGGGCCCGATGGCGCTTCCCAGGGGTTCCTGTACGAGGGAAACTGTCTCCGGTGCTGAACGTGCCCTCGCAGGCATGGAGCCCTGCCAGGAAGCCTGGCTGCCGTCTGGGCAAAAAGCGCAGCGGGGTGGGAAAACAGCAGCGAAATGGTGCCAAAAGCCCCTGGGCTGGCAATGCTGAGCTCCCAGTGCTCCTGCAGCCTGCTTATTGCAGAGGCACGGGAAAAAGCCAGGACGTATCTGGCCGTGTAGCCGCTAGGGAGCGGTGCTGCTGGATGGGCTCAGCCTGGCCCGCTCAGCGCCGTCGGGGCCGAGCTGCCTCCCTGGGGCTGCTCCCCA